TGTGTGTCTGTCTGTGTGTCTGTCTGTGTGTCTGTCTGTGTGTCTGTCTGTGTGTTGTCTGTGTGTCTGTCTGTGTGTCTGTCTGTGTGTCTGTCTGTGTGTCTGTCTGTGTCTGTCTGTGTGTGTGTGTGTCTGTCTGTGTGTCTGTCTGTGTGTCTGTCTGTCTGTCTGTCTGTCTGTCTGTCTGTCTGTCTGTCTGTCTGTCTGTGTGTGTGTGGTGTGTGTGTGTGTCGGGGTTGGTGTTGGTGTTGGTGTCACAAGCGCGTTTCAGCCACATGTTGCAGACTCGAGCGAGTGCGTTCAAGCGAGCGAAATAACGGGACATGCTGCTTTTGCGGGTGTGTTGTTCGCCTATTTTGGCCAAAGACCTTGAACGCTTGCCACGCACCATTTGCCTTCCTTCTACCGAGAGGTAGGCGGCCAGCAAAGCAAGAGTTCGTGCCAAGGGGCCGAAGGCCAGCCAAACGATGCATGACACGCGCGCGCAAACCCCCGCAAATCAGGCTGACGCCCATGAGAGCTCAGGCGGTGCTGCCAAGTTAGGGTGGAGAAGGTCAAGCAAGAGGAGGTGCAGCAAAACGAATATACCTCCACTACCATTCAGGAGGTGCAGGGCCATGTGTTTGGGGGCCATCCTCAAATACACGGGTTTATTGAAAAATTCGCGTAACTTGTTAGTTGTGCGATTGGCAAAACCTGCATTGCGAAAGGCCGGCGATTGGGCAGCGATTGGGGCAACATCTATGTTTGCTGGTAAGACGGCAGAAGTTGCCAAGTTTGCTCCGCCATGAAATGCAAAGCGCGGCAAGACTGTTACAGAAGATTGCCGGATATGTCGGGGTTCGAAAAGAACTGCAGGAACTGCAGCAAAACAATGGCGCCAGGGAAAGAATTGCCGGGACCGGGGCTAAGCCTACGTGCGATGCTGAGGATGTTGGCCCGCTCCTCTCTCATTGAAAGGCGTGTAAAGAGCGCCAAGAACTCGGGAACTGCCGGGAACTGCCGGGAACTGCGGCAAGACTAATTGTAGAAGGAATTGCCGGGGAGTTGCCGGCCCGGCAATTGCCGGGGAATTGCCGGGGCCCGGCTCCGGTAATTGCGGCAATTGCCGGCGAATTGCCGGGGCCCAGCAATTGCCGGGAACTGCGGCAAGACTACAGCAAGTATACGGAAAGAATTGCCAAGGGGCCTGGAACCGCAGGAGATGCCGGGAACTGCAGCAAAAGCCGGCAAGACGACTTACAAAAGAATTTCCCGGGATCTGCCAGCAATTGCCGGGAACTGCTCCCACAATTCCCGGCAAGCCTTCCCAATTTCCAGCAACAACATTTCCAGCAACTCTTCCCCCTGTCTCACAAGAGTCTTGCCCGTGTATTGCCGCAGGGTCTTTTCGCAGCCTTCCCAGATTCTTCACGTAGTCTGTCCGCACCCTTGCTGTAGCATACGGATGCCTGTCCTGAATTGCATGCTTGTGTCGGGGTTGGTGTTTGGGCCGTTGCGACTGCACGGGCTTGCTGAAAGCCTTCAACCAGCTGGAAATCGTTGTTCCACTGCCAGAAGACCCGCCTACTCATTCGGAGTTGTAGGCCCGCCCGCGCTCCTCACCTCCTTTCCTCCTCCTCACAGCATTTGGCGCGAGATCTGGCTCGGTGACCAAACGCGCCAGCTTTGGCCAAGGACACGGCACGTTGATTATTTGCGGGATGTGTGCGTGTGGGTGCGCGCGTGTGGCTCCTTGCTTGGCCGAAGGGCACGACATGATGGATGAAGACAACACGGAGCAGCTGCCTATAGCCAGCTGGCTGGGAAGGAAAACACATCTCCCACACCTTTGCCCATGCTTCCAGTTCGGGCCCTGCTACAATTGCTTCTTCGTTATTGCGTTGATGAAGAGTGGCCATCAATCAAAGCGATCTCAGTTGCTGGGCAATCTGAGAGGCTGGCACGGCGGTGACCCGACCACGCGCAGAGGTTACGAATCGCGCCGGGATTCGCTCACAGAGCAAAACACATACCAAAACTCGGCGGCGTGAGGTTGCAAAGGCGAGCCCAGGTTATGAATATCGCTGGAATTCGTTACCTCGCCTCTGGCCAAAAGTATGGCTTCGCGTCGGGTTCCTCGAAAATGATAGATCGATCCAACGTGGGGCTTGGGCAGACTTTGGCCAGAACCAGAAAGACGTCAAAAGATTGCCGCCGGCAAGTTTGTCAGAGAGCAAGTCTGTGTCTCCGCTGTCAATGCTGCAGCTGCCGCCCGCTTGTTTTCTGCCGCAATGGTGGGCCTTAACGAAGGCACAAAGAAAACCGCAAGAACGAAATGCCAACAAAATATATCAACCACCTTTGGCGCAGTTTTCGGGCATTCGTGCAATTCGTGACTTTTTTTGAGCGCTCTTCTTTGGGAAGGTGTCAGGAGAACATAGGAGAAGCTTGGACTCATGTTGCAAGTGCTTCACAGTTAACGTCAATGAAAGTTGGCAGTCTGAAAACACATCTCGCCCGGCTTTGGTCCTGGAGCCACTGTGAGAACTTGTGCATTCTCGAACACCTCGAGTGCTCTGGATGCCCAGCGAAGGCACGATGTCGCGCAGCGCGCGGGGCAGCTGCTTGAGCACATGCTGTCTTTCCAGGGCCCAACGCAGGTGCAACTGATTGCAACTGCATAGCTTTCGGAAGGTCTTGGTGCATCATGACACTATGTTGCACACTGCGCGCAAGCGCCGTCCTCTCATTGCAGCAAATGCAAACTAGCCCGCGCGGCGAGGGATACTCTCAAATGGAACTCTCAAATGGAATCATGTCCACAGATTTGCAGTGTGGCGAGCTGCACAAAACATTGCAGGCCACAGGTGCGAGTCTGTTGCGTGCGTCTTCAATATTTTGTTGGTCAAGTGGTCAAGCAGCATTGCGGGTTTGGCAACTTCATCACGCGTTTCAGAACTCCGAACAAAATGCAGAAGGCGGCGACCCCCTCATTCAGAAATGTACAGGCCTTTTGTTCCACGTGCTTTAGGCCACTTCGCCCAAGCCATTTTTCGAAGCGGAAAATGTACAACAGGGGTGGGGGGGGGCCCTGCCAACAGGTAGGTGCGCGATTGGGGCCCGAAAGGTCGGCGATTGTAGGGTTTTCAGGGAACGCATTCTTGCAGAACCAGGGCAGTTCAAGATTGATGGGCGAGCGCAGTGTAGCAGTGTAAGTTGCTATGTTGCTTACGAAAACCACGTGACGAGCAGTTGGCGCAAGACTGTATCACCCAAACCAAAAGACCAACTGAACATGAACAACATGAACCAATGCAAAAATCTCAAGGCGAAGGCATTTTGCCCTGTTTCGGATTGGGTCTTAGGTGCCAAATCCGGCCTGGTGCTAAGCTGCTTGCGTGGCGTGCCTTGGGCCAGTGGGGGAAGGAGGGAGGGAGGGCGAGAGCGAGAGAGCGAGCCGGCAGGGATGTAGAGGGAGAGAGCTAGGGAGGTGGAACCAGGGAGGGAGGGAGGGAGGGAGGGAGGGAGGGAGGGAGGGAGGGGGAGAGAGAGAGAGAGAGAGAGAGAGAGAGAGCGCCGTGTACTGAGGCCTGGCTCGATATCTTCCGCTCTTGCAGCATCCGGGATCTAGGCCGACAGCAGGGGTCATCTCAGTACAAACTAGGGAATGGTTTTCTCAATGGTTGGAATATGCTAAGCTTGGGCTGGACAAGTTGAGGAAAGAAAAGTGCTCGCTCTGTTATAATTGGGTGGTGAGAAATCAGCTGAAATTTGAACCAGCTGAGCTGAGTTGAAGGCAGGTCCCAAGAAGCAACAAAAAGCCATCAATCACTTGACCAGTATACCGAATGACGCAGTAGGCTTGCAGATTCGCCGACATATGACGAAATTCTAGTTGCTAAGTCAGCAAGGCTGTTCCTAGGTTGTTCGTTGCTGCAACCCCTTGGTGGTTCCCAGCCATCCCCTTAGATGTTTTGTTTTTTTGGTGGGGATGTCCATTTAACCGACGAAAAGTTATTCACTTTTAGCGGGGGATCTGAAAACGGACAGCCGAGAGCCTATTATATGTTTTTCTGAAACCAAGGCTTGCCGAGGCCCTACCCGCGTCAGCTCCGGATACGTCGCGCCCAGTTGCTGTGAAGTTTGTTGGATTCAAAAAGCGAGCTTCGTCATGAAGACACACCCCAGCCTGGAGCAATGGGGTCTTCCAAACTCAGACAAATGTCATTGTCACCCGCACTTGGAGTAGTCAATGTTCGCTATCTTCACGACTGGAGCATGGTCCCGCATGGCGCCGTGAAGCCACTATTTCCTGTGACATGTTCGAATGAAGATATCACTTTCAGTTGTATGTTTGCCAGCAGTGCTCTCCTTGAATGTTTCACCTTGCCATTCTGCGTTGCTCCGTTTGTCAGGTGCTAGTCTGGCAGTTGACAAGCACTGGCGGACAGTTGTGGACTCTCCATACGTTTGGGCTGATGCGTACGTCCGGGCCCTCAGCATGTACCATGGCTTCCCCACGCAGTGGCTGGTAGGGGCCAACCTTTATTGGTTTTTAACTCCAATTGTCACCATGCCTGGTCAAAGCACCTGGATACTTGGAAGTGTGGGGATGCTACAGCAGAAAGGTGTTGCAGGACGTGGTCAATGGTGGCTGCTTTGCGATGTGATGCGGTGATATGCTCAGGGTCACTGCTAGCTCGATGCGGAATCGTTTTAGCTTGCCTTCTCAGACCATATCCCTCTTACACACCAACCATGGTAGAAAAGACTGTAGCTTAAAAGTTGCTGTAAGCCGTCAAATATCCGGCTGCTCTCGCATTGAGAGGACACAAGCCGAAAGAAAAGGGAAGTTGGTTGGTGCCAAGTGTTTTCCAACTTGATTCGAGCTGTGAAAAGTACGGCAAGTGTACGCGGCCGGGCAGTAATGGCTAATTGCCCATGCATAGTGAATGAACCCGATGGAGCCTGGTGCCAGCGTCCGCAAAGAACCACCAGCGCTCATTGTCGAGTTTCTGATATTTCTTTGAGGATCGAACGCAGAGGGTGGACGACTCCAGCTCCCCGATTCGTTCCGGGCTGAGAGCCGACTTCGTAAGCGGCGCGTTGTTTTCGGTTGACTCAAAATGTCCAGAGGGCAGCTTTGGCATGATTCCCGTCCTTGTGAGTTTGGTGCCACAGCCGAATCAAGGCCTTGAGTTCAGTTTCGACTTGTGCGGCATGACTTCCTCAGGCGAATGATCTAAAGAACTCACGCTCCGTCCTGTCCATCTCATCCACCTTGCTGATCATTCACACACGACCCAAGGGATGCATCAGATGAGAGGCACACAAAAACGGAGTCGATGAGTCGCCGCAGGAGAAGGAACGCTGCGGTCCCTCATTGACCGGCCCTTTGGAGAGGAGAGGGGCATGAATCCCTCGCCAAATTCTTGGTACTTTCATTCTCACTTGCCCAATGCCGACCTTTTTACCTTTTGGTTTTCTAATTTTGTTCCATTGTTAGTAAAGGTCCCAAAAGGTTAACCTTTTATTTCCTGGTCTTTTGGGCAAGTGAGCATTTGATTAGAAGCTTGTAGGCCTGTCTTGAAGGGACATCTTATGACTATCTTGATTGTGTACCGTAAATTGTGGTTTGCACCCGACAGCAATGGGCCATGTCATGAGCGCATGAGATGGTGCTTGCACATACGACCGGCCTTCGGCCAAAGACAAATCCCCAGACAGTTGGAGAGCCACATTCATAGAAAGAAAAATGATTATATATATATATATATATATACATACATATATATATATATATACATTGTGTGTGTGTGTGCGCGCCAGGTGTGTTGAGAGTTCACACTGAGGGATGTCAGAGTCATGCCAAGCAGAGTTTAGCTCCCAGCACACATGTCCATTTGGTAGCCTCCATGTCTTCGGTTTCCGCCATTTAGGCAGCGAAGGCGCGAGCCCTTTGGGTGAGCCTACGGCATGGTTTTCCTGCCGCTTGGGCCGTTAGGACGCTATTGGTTGGCATGTGGCCGTGCTGGCCGAAGACAGCACGGATGGCGCCGAGCGCTATTTCACCGGCCACTGGTCTTAGTGCCCACAAAGAATCGCCCTGGTTGATGAATAGGGAGTGTCCCACTGACGAGGCACCTGCCAAGCCTCATGACAAGTGATCGTAGTACATGTGCACCCATATTTGCTGGTGGACTCACTGCCTGAAGATGATACCAAAAAGTTCTCTCTACCTTGGCATGCTGGACAACCGGTCCTAACAAACGCACACAGAACAGCATATGTTTCCCCAATCGGTCCTTTGGCAAAGGGGGCTCGCACGGAGTTTGCAGAGGGCATTGTTCAACTTCAGGCATGGCCGCCGAGTGACTCCCAAGGTCACGTGGTCGCCTTTAGCGCGGAGACAGATACCTACCTGGTGGCTTATGGACTGGGCCCAAGATCGACGCTTTTGTGGCCAATAGGCCATGGGGCATAACCTATGGCGATCCCATTTTGGGATGGATGAGCATCAATTTGCCACCTATTTTGATAATCACCAGGGATACAGGGTTTTGACCCACAGCCAGTTGGCAACCATGTTGATTTGCCCCCAATTTGGCAAGCAAATCCTTTCAGCGAGGTTTGCTTTCACTGCAAGAAGTGACTGCCATAGCAAGAGATGGAGTGGACGCTTTGAATTGCTGAACTTGTTGCTAGAAGCTCACCTCTAGCAAGCCCCCCGGGCCCCCGGTGCCCAGGAAATGAAACTCAGCAGCCGACCATGGTTTGGGAGCAGGACTGAAGAGAAAGTGGGCGTGCGGACACTCTGTGCAAGGAGGTGACGGTGAAGCCACTAGCCCCCCAGCGAAATACACCAGGTAGCAAAAGAGGCTGCCCACAGTGCGGCAACTAAATCATGTGAATAGCACAGTCTGAGAGCTCTTGTTACTAGGCGGAAAAGTACCGGAGGCAGCATGTGCATGGATGGGCCTTCGTCTTGTCTCTGAGGAGCGACGCAAGAGGACTGCCGCAATGAGAGTCGCCCTCAGCCAATTGAGAACACAACACTTGCAGAAAGAGCTTGATTCCGAAGCATGCAGGCTGACACCAAACTCATTTCTGACTGTGGCACACCAAAGGCTCAGCAATGTGGCACAGCTTTGTGTTTATGTGTGACATGACCTTGGGGGGAACGTGGGCACAGCTGAGGGCACAACCCATCACTGGCTGGGAAGAGCCGATTCAACTTCTTGTCACCTCCACCGCAGTTGTGGTCAGGCGCGCATGCATTCAAACTCTTGTCGCAACGCATCGCAGTTTGCAGTTCGAGAAGTGTGGCGTAATTTTGACGCGCCAAGGCGTCCGTGTTGGGGATGCCCTGGACCCTGTGACCCAAAGGGCATCTCAAATTGGGATTGTTTGAACCGAAGGAGTTGTACCCCCACAGTACCCTTTCTCAAGGCCACGGTCTTGTCTCGCGCCCTGCTCGTATTGGCTCAAGGCCATGACCAATGTTTTAGGGCACAGGAAGCCTTTGGCCAAGACCTATGCGCTGCATTGTGCGAGCACCGCATGGCAGCGCAAGCTTCCGTTTGCTTAAGAGTATGTTTGTTTTCCCGTGTGGTTTTAAAGAGAATCTATCACTACTGAAAATGTTGCTAGTTTTTCCTCTGGACTTAAGCAATGGCGGCAAGCAGGATCTCATCACACTTGACTGGGGGCAGCCATGAAGAGAGCACTGCTGGCACGCGGTACAAGCTCACGTCACTCCGCACAATGCCCGACTTGCAAAAGAAGAAGCTTCGAGCGCACAGCAAAGGCATCATATTCCTTTAGCTCAGAGTCTGCTGAAGTCCTTGGGGAAATTGGTAAGCGAGCAACACCATGGTGCAAAGCTTTTGCCATGGGGTGTTGCAGCATTCGCCGGCTTTTCGCCCTGCTGGCTTGCAGCGTGCTGGCGGTGGTTCTGCTGAATGGCATCGTCAGTGGGATGAGCCTGAAGCAGATCCCGTCTCTGAATTCAGTGCTTGGATTGGCTCCCGACCTGATCAGCTCAGTGCACTTGCCTCAGTGCCCATGCGATCCCGCATTCCCAAACACGCATCCCTCGCCCGACAAGCAGGGTGCTTGCATACAGGCACCCGCAGGCGAAGTAAAATCAATGATCCCAATGAACCCCCCTATTACCCTATGCCCATTTAGACGCCCAGAGCCCATTGCGTGACGTTTGTTCAGACCTTGCAGGTGACCTGCCTGTGACCTGAGTCACTGAGGCACGAGGCTCCGCAGAGTCAGACGACTTGGGAGCTGCAAGACGCACAGGTGACGAGCGCGCAAGAGAGCGCGCAAGACGCGAGTTTGGTGGCGGCCAGCTCAGAGGCTCCGCAGCCCTCAACAACTGTGGAGGAGAGATCGGGTTTGATGTCAAACGATGCACAGGGACCGAAAGCAACCGTTGGAGGGTAGCGAAATGCCCAACTATGAGGAAAAAAAGGAAGGCGGCCGCCGTAGAGACATGGATTTTGGAAGACTCCTTATGGTAGCGTTTGGTTTGTATGTACATGGACATTGTTCATTATGTGGATTCTGACTTGACCAGTTGAGAAAAACGATCGCCATTTTCTGCATTTACGAGCCTTTATTTCAGGAGAAGAATGCCAGCTTCGTTCTGGCAGATGGTGGCTCAGACGTGTTATCGTCGCCTTCTCAAACCCCCGGATTCTGAATCATTCTGGGCAAGCTGACGAAAGGGGCGACTTCATTTGATGAACCCCGCTGACAAAAGGGACGGATATCAGAAGGAAGCCAACAGAAACTCAGGTTTTCAGCGAAGATCGGGCATTTTAGTTTGAGAGCTTCACCACATCCAAGTTGGCAATTGGTGGGACGAGTCGCATCTCCGAGGTGAATGCGGCGACCTTGATCCTGTGCGGGACGAAGAAGAATGCCGCCTTGCCGCTTCATTCTTTGGGAAGAGATATGCCACTGGGCCATCCTGGAAGCTTTTTTGCACTGGCCACCAGTTCGTAAAAACGATGGCTTGACAATGTAACCACTAAGCATTGCATGCATCCTTTGAAGAAAAGATCCTTGGCCTTCAGCTGATATGTTCCATTTTGACGATTGAAGCGCCAGTCGGTGCCAGGATTGTGTTGGAATTGGAGCGAGAAAATATCGAGCTAAGGTTGGCACATTCGAGGCCAGACAAGAGCCGAAGTACTGCGTGCATCGGAGGGTGGATGACGACCTGTTCTTTAACCTGGCGGGGGAAGTTGGTTCCAAGGCTGACAGGCTGGTGGCGTGCACGGATGTCACAGGCAGGCCTGTCACTGGGCCGCAGAGTGTTCATCGCTGGCCCGGAGAACGCCCTCCTTGTATATAGGAATGAGGCGTGCACAAGAAGTGGAGATAAGTATTATTAGGGGGCCAAATTCAGCATGGTGTTGGGGGGAATCTGTGTTGCTGGGGTTGATTTTGACTCGGGAACAATGTCGCTTGATGCGCTGAAGACTCCTCATGTTTTGTTTCGGAAGCTGTGCTTGCATCGCAGAGATCGCAGAGCGTGGTTTTGTCATCAAGGCCCTCCTAAACTTGAGCTTGTACCGCCGCTTGGGCGCAAGTCTTCCAACGGCTGTGCTGTGAAGGATGGTTAAGGGTTAACAGGCCGGCGTCACTTGGTGAGGGCCTTGGTAGCCACCGGCTTCCGGTGTCGCCCAGGTCACCACGAAGTCGGCGACTACGGCGGCGCCGGTGGCTTGGTCTTGGGAGCTCTCAACGCCGCTCGGGGAGTTGAGCGTCGGAAGCAGCTGCGGGACGTTTCCCATCCAACATCATCAGCGCTGCAGAGCCGCCGCCGCCGTTCTGAAGAAGAGGTGGGTATGGGGGTCAAAGTGTTCCTCCAGAAAGCAGCAGGTGTTCGTCCTTGGGTCCATTCATCAGGGGTTCCATTTTGGGTACCTTGTCTTGACCCACAGGTTTGCAGGCATCCTGGTTTCCCTCACGGAGCCCTATGGATGTCTGCACCGAGTCGGGGACCAGGACATTATGTTCAACAGAGTGAGGACCACAGAGTCGAAGAGCGACCGTGAATTGGTGTGCAGCTCGGAGAAGGAGCCGGAGCAAGCACAGCGGGAGAAGCTGTCGCATTCCCAGGCAGCAAAACTGAAGATCTATTGCTTCGGCTGGACAGTTCGCAGCCCCAAAGCACCTCGCACGTTGAGCTTGCGAGTGGGGCTTGCTCTTAGGATCCGCCGGGCATGTTCACGTTTGATGAGACTTGCTAGTTGCGAGATGACCAGGCTATTAAAAGCATCAGCATCGTGATATTTTATCAGGGCAGAGCCCTTCCAAGTACTGGACAGGTTTCTGGGATTTCCTTTCAGCGCTACAAGGGTATGTTCCATGTTCCGACATGACACATACCAATAATATTGAGCAACTGAGATGACAGAGAGACCTTTTGTCATATAAATTGCGAGGCGCCAGCCCACCCAACTGTTTGCGCACCTTGAGCAACACGACGGTGTTCTCAGGAAGAGCTGCTGCTCCCGTACGCGCGAGCCTTGTTCCAGGCTTGCGATGGCTACTCCTTCTTTACCGACTCTGAGAACTCAGCTGAGCAGACCTCAGATATTGTCAAGGTGCAGCTGCCTAAAACGCAGCAGAAGCGCACTGACTCCTTCTGGCTTTTGTTGAAGAACATGGTGGGGCTTTTGCCTGCCTGGGGCTTCTTGTTCGAACACAACATCACAAACAACTACGACTGGGTGGTGAATGTGGAGCTGGACCACTTCTTTGTGGCCTCCTTGCTCCGCCAGACCATCGCAGACTACATGAATGTCATGATTGCGGGCGGGCTGCCGGGACAAGACCCATGGAGCGATGCGGTGCTTTTGGTCTTTGGGCGGCTCGGACCTGTTGATCTGAAAAACTGCGAGCATGGCTCGTGCTAACAGAAACCTGCAAAGGGGTCAGGCACCGAAAAACGTGGGATTGAAGAGAGCCAAAGAAATGCAGCTTAAATGTTCCCCACCACCTCCCATGTGGCGCTGAGGAATGTGTTTGCCTTCAACGCGAAGCTTGTGCAGAACATGAAGGGGGAGTGGGACACCATCAGCCAAGTGCCCAAGCTGCAGTTCTGAGGCGAAACTTCAAGTGCGGATAGGCCGTTCCCACTGGCACTAGGGGCCGCATGACGCTTATCCATGCGTCAATACCACGTACTGCACAGAATACAAGCTTAAGTTTGCCTATCACTTTCAATCCATCCTGATGAGGAGGAGGCGGAGGAGGAGGATCGGCACTAGTCATCGCTCGTTTTTTGTTTGGTGAGTATGATATGTTATAGTTTGCAAGCTTTGTCAGATCGTGGCATGTGCCATGGACGTAGTAGAATTGAAACCGTGGCGTGTTACTGTACTATGGCAGCAATACCATAAGCTTTGTGTGTGTGCATGGATCACAAGTTGGGAATCATTGCTGCAGAAGTTGTTGTTGCTTCGAGCTTTAGCCTATAGAGCTCTAGTCTATTTCCACCTGACTTCAAGATCACGCTATAATTTCGCGTGTTCCCCTTGCTTTCGGTGAGGCTGGCCAATTTTCAAGCACCCGTGCCGGCAGAACCCTCAACGTTCCAAGTGCCATGCCTTTTGACACATACTATTTACCATCAAGCGGGTTGTCTCCAAATGGGGTGAGCTCCAAAATGCCGTTGGCCAGCTCCAAACGCCGCCCCTGAAAAACGCCTTCCAAGAAAAGAAGAGAGAGGAAACGGGGGCACCCCACGGACAAAAAAACCGGGCGAGCCGCCCGCCCTTGAGGTCATCACCGATGGGGGCTCCAAAGGCCTGGGCTGCCCGATGATCTCTGGACCGCGCGCGCATGACGAGGGCCGCTGCGAGCAAGACATGGTCTACGCGCCTCAGACGCCGGCAGCCGGCGGAGTCACTGGTTGGAGTGCAAGTCCCAATCCTCGTTCAGGCAACCACGCCTCTTTCTTTCTCTCTCTCTCTCTCTCTCTCTCTTTCTTTTTCTCTCTTTGTTTGGCGTTCAGTGGTCCGCGTCGCCTCATGCAAAGCAAGTTCATTGGAGGCAACCACGTTCTTTGTTCAGGATTGATAGTGATTAGGAGCTTTCGGCATCGCAAAGTAAGTCCTCGCAAAAGCTGTATTTTTGTTTCCTCCACACTTCCTCTACACCAATCCAAAGGCGACATGTGTCCGAACGAGGAAAGAGCGGGCGGGGCGGGGGGGGGGGGGGGGTCGGCAGTGCTTTGTAATTAATGCACACCACTGGTGTCCTGGCGGTGTCCTGAGTGTGTGGTGTTGTTTCCCCATCTATGTTTCTTACCGGGAAGCATGGAAACACTTGAGTCAGCAGTTGTATCCACTGCATTGCCATAATTCCATTTGGTTAAGAATACGTTTCCTCCTATTGATTTTAAAGGGAATCTATCACTACTGAACATCTTGTTTTTGTGCACAGCGCTCCCGGGGCCCGGGGGCAAGGACCGCATTGACTGTCATTTAAGGAGAATCTCAGGGAGCACATGCACAGCTCTGTGACCATCGTTGGTGCAAATGGCTGTGGAAACACAGCAACCTCGGCCGCTTGGCTAGAAAAAGAAGCAAGGTCATGTTTGACATCGAACCTGGGGTAGACTTAGGATACATGTTACATTTGTACCAGTGACTAAAAGTGAAGCAACCAAAAAACGTATGTAGTAACATTCACAATTAAATGGAGTCACTTTGGATACATTCTACGATTTTGCCATTCTATAACTGGGCCCAGCTCTAATCATTGAACGAGCTGGCAATGTGCTGAAAGGATGCAGCCTGGATGCATGGGTATGCCAAGCATACTCGCTTGCCCCAAAACCGACCCTGCAACCTTGGTTGCCCCTTTTGGGTCGGTATGAGTGGGTCAACACCACTGGGATCCCATTTTGGGTGGTAGGTGAATCCACCACCCATTTTAGGACCTATTTTAGTGGTTGGATTGGGTCCCGTTCACTGGGGGCAAACCGATTTGGATTGTGAGCCATGGCCAACTGAGGATATCCTGGTCCCCTTCCCCTTGGCCTGTTGGCAAGATTTTCCCTTCGGCGGAGAAGAAGAGGAGCGACAGAAAGCCTTGCGTGAGCTGGAGCCCCTCTGGAATTTGCCCGCAGAAGATGCAAAACGCCTATGCCTCTCCAAGGAGGAGGCAGCCGGGCTGGTTCTTACCTTGAAACAATGTGGCCGTGGGTCAAAACCAAACCATTTTGGGGTGGGTGCACCGCTCATTTTAGTCTATTTTAGCGGGGATTGGGATGTTTGCTGGTTTCTGACCCACGGCCATGTTTGCTAGAAGTTGTTTTAATATGGCTTCGGCTTACATGAAACAGGAATGGCACAGCGAAACGAGTCGGGAGTGGGCTGCTGAACGCATCAGAAAGGCTGAGGCTGTTCAAAAGGTGATTGGCAAGCAACACAAAAGGATGGTTTGCGAGCAAGAGTAATAGGACCTTGGTCAGATGTATGCTACAATATAGCACAGGACGAAATCCTGGGAGAAGACGAGGCCGCACTCCACAAATTCCAAGTGTTGAATGATGAAAACCGAAAGGTGGAAGCATTTTGAGTTGCAGAGCAGCACAACAACACCTTTAGGGGGAGGTTGGCCAGTGAGCACATCAATGACAAAGCAGAAACAGCGAGCAAAGGCAGAAGCACCAGCAGAATCAGCAGAATGAGTTTCATCCGTCGCTGCCGCTCCACACCCACACACAGACACACAGAGCACAGCAACCACAGCAACGACGACCAAAACAAGAGCAACAACAAGAGCAACAACAAGAGCAACAACAACAACAACAACAACAACAACAACAACAACAACAACAACAACAACAACAACAACAACAACAACAACAACAACAACAACAACAACAACAACAACAACAACAACAACAACAACAGCAGCAGCAGCAGCAGCAGCAGCAGCAGCAGCAGCAACAACAACAACAACCACAACCACAACCACAACCACAACCACAACCACCACCACCACCACCACAACCACAACCGCAACCACAACCACAACCACAGCAACCACAACCACAACCACAGCAACCACCACAACAACCACAACAACCACAACAACCACAACAACCACAACAACCACAACAACCACAACAACCACAACAACCACAACAACCACAACAACCACAACAACCACAACAACCACAACGGCAACCGCAACGGCAACCGCAACCGCAACCGCAGCCGCAACCGCAACCGCAACCGCAACCGCAACAGCGGCAGCGGCAGCGGCATCTTCATCGGCACTGCACCGGCACCGGCAGCGGCAGCGGCAGCGGCAACGGAAACGGCAACGGCAACGGCAACCGCAACCGCAACCGCAACCGCAACCGCAACCGCAACCGCAACAGCAACCGCAACCGCAACAGCAGCAGCAGCAGCAGCAGCAGCAGCAGCAGCAGCAGCAGCAGCAGCACCAGCAGCAGCAGCAGCAGCAGCAACAGCAGCAGCAGCAGCAGCAGCAACAGCAACAGCAACAGCAACAGCAACAGCAGCAGCAGCAACAACAACAACAACAACAACAACAACAACAACAACAACAACAACAACAACAACAACAACAACAGCAGCAACAGCAACAACAGCAACAACCACAGCAAGAGCCAGAGCAACAGCAACCCCAGCACAGGCAGCAGCACCATTAATGTGACAGCCTCGGCAATGACTGCAACAGTTTTCTCGACAACCCAAAGGTTCAGCTACACGGAAAATGTTGGGACCCGCCCGAGCGGGTTCCTGAGTTCCCCATTAGCGGGTCTGCTGTTTGTCGCGGGTGATCGAATGTGTCGGAGTCGTGTGAAATCGAGAGAGCCGTGCAGGAAGTGGCCAAGCATTGCAAGTCGCTGCTGCGAGCGCGGCACGTCCCGATCATCCACAACATAAAGTCCCCAGAGCTTCATGAGCTGGCGCTCAAGTTGCTGCCGTTGGCAGCCAAAGCGGAGTCGTTGGGCGAAGCCGAAAGAGCGACAGGGCCCAGAGGAGGTGTTGACCATGTTTGCCAGTTTGTGTTGGTGACAACAGTGTTGCCTCATGAAGCTCCAGGACTCAAAGGCCTTTGAAGCACACAGACGGAACAGATACAAGGGAGAGGGACATTATGTCATCCAGGTGCTCGCAGCTTAGGAATTATTGTTTGGGGCAGTTTGAGTATAGCAAATGATATCAAACGGAGCTGTTGGCTCAGCCCAGTCTCACACCTGCCACCTTGTGTTAGTCTCACCCTGCATTATGGGCGATTCAACCAAGCAGATGACAAAGCCTGTGCTTAGCCTGGTGTGTGCCGTCTTCTTTCTTGCCGTCCCTGCGGCTGTGTGCGCCTTGATCGCATTGCTTGGAGTTTGGTGGTCTGGGCAAGTGGAGCCTGGCACCTTGAGCACTGCTATTAGTGGCAAAGGTGACCTGAGCCTTTGGTGGTTCCGCAGCTTCACTGTTGTTGGCATGTTTGGCTTTTTGGTCTTTGCTTCTGTTGCGTGTTTCTAGGATGTTGGTTCATTGGTTCTGTTCGTAAACTCAGTGGGGGGCTTCAAAGTACATATTTTTGTTTGCTGCCACGAGGGTTGGCCAGGTAGCTCCTCCGCCCTTCTGGGGATCAGGCTCCCCCAGGCTTACATGAACCTGGACTCTGTTTGCCTGGATGCCATCTCCATGTGCGACAAGCTGGCGGTCATGCGAAACTTGATCGGCGCTTCTTTCGGCTTCGCGGGCTTGGCGGCTCTTTCTGCCGTGATGTCCCTCTTTGCGGTGGGGGAATGCTTTGGGGACGGGCGCCGAATCGGGCTGTTCGGCCAGGTGGTGGTTTGCCTTGCGAGCGCCGTCTCTTGTGGCTGCATGATTGCCGGCCTTGTCGTGGGGGAGTCCACTGACACGCTGGAGTGGTTCAGGCAGTGGGGGACCTTCGGTCCGGCCGTCTACTGCGCTGCGGTCTCACTGGGGGTGTCCTTTGTTACCATCATTGTCTCTGTCTTTGCTGCACGCCGCATCAAGGAGGATATGAACAAGGGAGCCCGCGAGTTTCACAGTGAGTCCAGTGAGTCGACGGAAGTCGCAGAAGTAGTGGCTAGCGCAGAGGTGTGACGTAGCTGGCATAGTTTGAGCTCTTGCCGCATAGCTCCGGATGGCAAGAAGGCACAGTTGCATTCCGTTTTGGGCAGCTGAAGTAGAAGAAACCGAAGCTGCTAATTCGTGAGGCTTCGCCGGTAGCAAGGTCTATCATGAAAGCCTCGAAGTTTTCACGGAGCTCAAGTTCCATTGGGACAATCGTCCCGTCGCAAGAGACGACACACGCCGAGTGGAAAGTTTTGCGAAGCCTGGCAGGTGCATAGCTCAGGTTGGACTCGAAGTAATCTGAGTAAACCGCTATGCCAAAGTCACAGGAAGCAGCTCGTCAACAGCCAGCCCGGGGTCAACTGAGAAGGCTGGAGCACCAGAGCGCAAACTGGCAAACTACTTCATGCGTTGAAAGAGGGGGGAAAGTGGAGCGGATGGATGCCCTCTTGGAGATTGGGGCACGGCACCGCTGTTTCGGCATAATTCCAAGCTTCTGAGTACTAAGGCGCCAAAAAAGCAAAAGCACAATTCAGTTAACTTGTCATGTCGCGGGCATTGCTTGCTCCTTGGTTAAAGCAAAATACCTTTCTAAGAAGAGTTAAACCATTTAGGTCATATGCCAATGAGACATGACACACCAGATAAGTTTGCAGGTCACTTCACTTCTTTGATGCGCGTCGTGGATGGCTTCACAAAGGTTGACTTTGCTTCTCAGTGGACTCATCCAAGCAACAGAGAGCTTTCATGAAGATCATACACACGCGTAGGCTGTTGACCATTCCAAAGGCCAGAGTTGTTGCAATGCTTCCTGGTGGCGTGAGCATGGCAGTGGCAGTCTATCAGCCTGCCACCATCAGATCCTGAGTTGGTGGAGCGCTGGTTTGTTTCCTGACATGTTTGTGGAATCACTAGACCATGAGGACCGTTTTGACATGTATGTTGGCAACAGCCAACCTAGACGCGCTTTCCAACACTGCAAGGCAACCAGCTACTTGCGACAAAGATGTTCCTTCAGCATGAAACCTACCTGTCGCTCGCGGAGACTCGGTTGTGGGTGCTGCTTGTGGGCAATGAGGCATCATTTTGTCTCTTTGGGCAGGCGAGATGCCCTAGCTAGAATGGCAGACAGGCATACGTGTTGTTGGGAATGATTGTTTATCTTGGCCATCCGTGGTTTGCCGCTTCCCATTACCAGACGTCAAGACACTGCACAAATGCCGCTGCTACATTCTACCCTTCAATTTGCGACACGTGCCTGGCCTATCAATGACCTCAACACATCAGGAGATGAATCCTTGTCACACCATTGCCGCTAGGCACACACGTGATTTGCTACATCCATGTCAACTTGATGTGAAAGAGCGACTCTTGCCTCTACAGTCCAAGCTCAAACAAGCCTTTGACCAAGAGGAACAATGTCTCCACCTGCCAGGAATCGCGGGGGGGTGGGGGGTGGGTTGTTGCCGCAGTCTGTCATGTGCCTTCGACTTCCAGGTCGCCAGACGGTCAGAGCGCAGCGCGCACAGCTTTTAAGAGAAAGGCGATGCGCGTCAGCGCGTTTGCCAATGGAACATGGGTACACAATGCGCGTATGCAGGGCCCCGTACGCAGTAAGGGGGGTTGTTTATGCTTCGTCGCAATACCCGTTTGGGGGTGAAGATGCTTTTTGCCGCAATACCTGTTTAGCAAGGTGAGACGGCCAAATGCAAGAGCAGATATAGCAGATCATTCCCGATGCGTTGTTTGTAGCCAAACGAATCAGTGTCTTTGTGGACCAAGCCATTGTTCCCCTAGGTTCCTGGAAGGAAGAGCTGAAACACAACGTGGGCAGCCCAGATGCCTGCATCCCACGAGCGGCTTGAAGGCGAAAACCCTGGCATGGGAGGAGCTCTTTCCCGACAAACCAGGAGTTCAGCCTTTGGCAACCTCGTCCCGGTGGCTTTTTTGCCCAAACAGGGGTCCCCTCTCCATCGTGTGTGTGCCAGCTGGGTTGAAGCCTTGATGTGCTGCGTGCGCGCGTGTGGCAAGTTCTCCCAAGGTGCTTTTGGCAATTGCTCGGAGGTTACATGCTTCAGCTTGGGCGTTGAATGAGGGCAATCCTATCGGCCTTCGCGATGTAACTTTTGGTTATAGGGTGTCCGCATCGTGTCAAGGATGATGCGATCCAAGTTGCTGGGCAGCGTTTACATATGCCCGTTGTAGGCACTGCGAGGCCTTCGGCACATTGCGAATGGAATCCATAGCCACGCGCGCGTTTGAGCTGCCAACAAATACCGGCTTCGAGCATCTGAAGTTAATGGAAAACATCTATGGACATGTCCGACTCGACCCATAAGAAATGCCGGTTGTCACAGTAAGGCGGATTGTTTGGGATCCTAGCAATGTAGGGTATTTTCTTGATGGGCTTTGGAGAGGGAGTGCCTGCAGCGTTTGTGTTCCGGTGACAGGGCTTGGCGCGTTTACTTGTATTGACAACCTGATTGCCTTGATTGTATGATGGTGTCACCCACACAACTTGCTATGATGCTTTCAAAAATTAAGAGAGGTTGGGTGGCTGTTGACTAAAAACTTAAGAGAAGCCAACCAGTGTTGGAAGTCCCCTAGTTTGCAGATGTTTATCACCACGAGTTTCAGGTATGATGTATAGAGGTTATATACTATAAGCTTCCATACCTCCAGATATCCTGAAATTGGACGCGGCAGTAGTGTCCTGGAACTAGAAACAGGCTGTTTGAACATTTTTCAGGAAGCCGCCCAGGTGCTGGAAGCTCCGACCCGGCTCTTGACCACTCTCAAGGCGCACAGCGACGAGGCGCGTTTTTTGAGCCTCAAAGCCGTCCAAAGGGGTTGGTCAGAAGTTCCCCCTTCGAGACGATCCCAGCAAGTCTGGGACCGCGTGCGTTCTTTCGAACCAAAACATTCAGAAAATGGTCCCAACACCTGGGGAGTCTTGCTGGTTTCACCACAACGTTGGTGAACAGGTTGGTGGATCAGCCTGCAGACGTGTCTTGCAATCATACCCCTTTGGGTTTGGTGAATTTGAGGCTCCTGGAAACCAAATGAGGCCAAAGACAAAGAGATTCATTGCCCGAACCAGTGGGTTTGGTGATGAATGTTTTTTGGAGCGAATTCCCCTTGAACATCAATCCAAAACCGGGAGAGAACCTTGGCTTGTTGTGTCAGGCTGTATCAATCGCTGTGAGGGAGTCGTGATGTTGCAGGGAAACGAAGTGGACGTTCACAAGCGCCAAGATGCTTACGCACCACACGGGACCAAAAGGTTTCTTTCTACCACATCGTGACATGCTGAGTTGAGTTGTTGTAAACAACATCAATGCCGCTCTGCATCCGACCCTATGACGCCAGTGTGGAGTGGCGTCATTCAAGCCTTCCGCTGCCAGGTCCTCTTCGTGGTGTTCTCGCCTTGCGGCACTCGCCTTGCGAGCTGCGCACGCGACTTGCAGACCGCCCCTTGGCAGAATTCGTTCAGTGGTGGGCCCAGCCTTGGTAGGATTGGGATGGGGAAAAGTGGGTCAAAAATATGTACCCAAAATGGATCCCTGGTAAATGGAAACCTGCCGTTTTGTTGGTGGTTTAAGTTTGGCTCACACCCAATAAATGAGCTCTGTTGAAACGGGTTCACGCGGGCTGTTGCCTTTGGCAACACTAGGGAGGTTTTAGAACCCAAATGCTGAGATACAGACAATCTGATCCAGTTGCACTGCAGAATTCCACTCGGGTGTTTGGACTAGATGGACTTATGTTTATCCACTGACAAAGGTGGCTTGGCTGTTGTGGAGCAAGTTTGGTTTCGGTCACGAGACCAAGTGGCTGCAAGCTGCAAATCGGCATGCCCATCTAAAGATCTCCCACGATATGAGATGTGCTGCCAAAAAAAGTCAATTCAAGCGAGCACGGGTGAACAGCTGTTCCCAAGAGGTTGCTTCAAACCAAACTGGCCGCAGATCATCTTCAAAGTATGCTACGATAGCGAAGCAGGCAGTGGGGCCCTCAGTTGCACACGCGAGATGTGTCCACAGAAGCAACACTTGCTGAGGCGAAGATGATGAGAGCATGCAAGACCACGCACAGACTTCACAAAGAGGTCGCAGAAGAAGCAGATCCACGTCGCAAAGCCAGCCTGCTTGCCTTGGCATCTTGGTTGGCCCTCATGTAAGCCACAATGAAAATGTGGGTAGATGAAGGATACTTGCATGGTATGGGTAGGCCCCGAGGTTTGAGTATAACTTGAGGTTGAGCATAGCATGGGTTCGATACTCTCGATTCAAGCCGGATGTTTGTTGACAGATTCTCAAGTTTTGGCAGGCACGGCTACCCTCGCTTTGAGCAGGAAGCAGTCTGCCCACATCAGCAGGTGGCCTCAGTGGGTCGGCAAACCTTTGAGCAAGAGGCAGAAACCGATGGCCGAGAGCGCCCGGCACAATAAGAATCTGCTGGTGGATTGGCAAGGCTTGCGATATTTTAGGATGGTCTTGCTTTTTCACTGCGTGCTCACGTCCCCGGAGACCTCGGTTACCACACGCTCAGGACAGCACCAGTGAGAGCCATGTGGTGGCCCATTCCACCCTACGAGATGCTTGCTGTGAGCACTGAGGCGGGCTCAAACATGGAACATTCGGATGTGTTTTGCTCGCTGTCGAAACAGGATTTGAGTGTGTGTTTTCTTTCATGAGCCCAACTGAAGACATGCATACGTGAGTCTGAATTCATGCTTCCTGTCGTGGAAACACGCCCGCACTCAAGCCGTGACTGAGACTAAGGACGCTGGCTTGGGATGGCAAGCATCAAAGGTGGAGATTTGGAAGTCTCGGTCTCAGTTGGGTGAAGCTTCATCGGCACTTTTCGCCTCAGTCACATCCAAAGCCGGATCCGCCCGAAGAGTTGGCCCAAGCGTTTGCGCCGAATCCGCGACTCTCCCAATCCTCCGCGTTTGTTTTTTTCCGGTCCCATGTCGCCGGTTCCCGAGGCAGAGCTGAGGTTCAGCGTCCTTGACCTGAAGAGCCTGGAGTACAATGCCAAGGAGGCGGTCACGGAGATGCCTTTCGTGGGCCAGGCCTTTGTGAACGTGGACGCCTACGAGAAGCTCACGGAGTCGCTGTCCCGGGTGATCTGCGAGCACCGGCTGCAGGACGTGGCGTCTGTGCTGCTGCTGCACTTCCACCACCACATGGAGGAGGGGGAGATCCTGCTGGAGAAGGTGGATGAGAAGGAGGCCATCACCAGCCCCGTGTTCATGGAGACGGTGGCAGAAGATCCCCGGCTGGTGCCGCACTCCTTCCGCCTGAAGAAGGTGAATGACAGCTTCAAGTGGGTGCCCACGGAGTTCGTGCTGGACACGGACGGGCAGATGCAGCAGTTGACGGATTCCATGCTGACCTCTGATGGATTCATGGATGCCATGGCCTCTGAGTTGCTCACCACTGGGCTTTGGACAGTCTTTGGAATCCAAACGCTGCACCGCCACCAAGTGGTTCTCAAGGAGGATGAGGTGTTGGTGGAGGAGAGCACGAAGCCTTGGGAGGAGGAAGGACGCATCTCGCGTTTCTGGCCGCACCCCGCAACTGTCATCGACTACAGCAATCCCACACTTCTGAAGACCACGTGGGCTTGGATGAACCAGAAAGTCTGGGTGTGCGCGGGCAACTGCTCAGGATGCAAGCACTGCAGTGGGAACCAGGCCAACGTAAATATGGCTGGGGAGAAGGCGGAGTACCAGCCCACAGATCTGAAGAAAGTCTGGGTGTGCGCAGGCAACTGCTCAGGATGCAAGCACTGCAGCGGGAACCAGGCCAACGTGAATATGGCTGGGGAGAAGGTGGAGTACCCGCCCACAGATCTGAAGAAAGTTTGGGTTTGCGCGGGCAATTGCTCAGGATGCAAGCACTGCAGCGGCAACCAGGCCAACGTGAATATGGCTGGGGAGAAGGTGGAATACCAGCCCACAGATCTGAAGAAAGTCTGGGTGTGCGCGGGCAATTGCTCAGGATGCAAGCACTGCAGTGGGAACCAGGCCAACGTGAACATGGCTGGGGAGAAGGTGCAGTACCAGCCCACAGATCTGAAGAAAGTTTGGGTTTGCGCGGGCAACTGCTCAGGATGCAAGCACTGCAGTGGGAACCAGGCCAACGTGAATATGGCCGGGGAGAAGGTGGAGTACCAGCCCACTGATCTCAAAAAAGTTGAGGTCTGATTTCTGCTGCTGATTCTGAGCATGATAGGTGCAGAGAATCAACCGGGCAGCGCGACGCAGGGTAGGTTGCGAAGAGCTTGAGGCTACTTGGGCTTCCTTCTTTCATAGTTCTCGCAGGCTACTGGCACCAGCCAGCGTTTTCTGCTGGCATTCGATTGCTTGTCCAGGAGTGCGTGCAGTTTGGCTGCAATGAAAAAAAACCAACGCAATGGCAATCTCATAGGCGTTGGCTCAACTCTACTCGTCCTGTGCTGGGTGTTTCGCCATATCCCTGCACGCCTAAACCTCGGGAGTTCGAAGACATCAGAGCCGCTTGAACCAACTCCGGATGATAAGTGCTTCAGCGTTGACGCTGACGCTCCATGGCGCAGATGGGTGTGGCTTAAAGTTAAAGAGCTAGTAACGCAGTCGCCTTGTGTCTTTGGCTCCAAGTACCTGGGTTCCCTTGTTGAGCCACACCCAGATGACCCAAGCAAAGCCCACACGGTCTGCTCGTGCGTTTTTTTTGGAGACGGTTTGATTCTTGCTGCGAGGATTGGACCGTCTCCTGACGAAGGGCATCAAGATTCCGATGGATCTGAGGCACTTGGCGCATGGAGTTTAGGGTCATTCATCGTTCCACCGGCCCCCTCTCTTGCGCCATGCGTGTTCTTTGGAGCCACCGTTTGGCGCAGGAACTTGTCACCTAGTAGTCAAGACTTGCTGACTGTCCCTCGTAGGATCCATCAAGACCAGGGTTCAATTCCTGCTGAACGGCTCATACACCTTGCCGGAGACAATTGGATGAGTTGTGTGGTTGAACTGTGCTCCCGACTATGGAGCTTAAGCATTCCCAGTAGAGTGTGGTTGCGCAGTGCGATAGATTCTTTTGGCCAAGCACTGAAACGCGGTGTGGGATGGGGAAGACAGACATGACACCAAATAGGAGCTGACAGCTTTCGCAACCGGATCTTTGCAACTTAGCCAATCAAGATGTCGAAGGTACGAAACCCGGGTTCGATCCTTAAAGCAATTCCAGTGTGTCTTGTCAGTTTGTGATCGGCCCACGGGCGATTCAATGAACGTCCCTCGAAAGCCGGAGGAGCACATTCATATGTCCTTTGCAGTAACTGCTTGTTTTTGACTGGGCCCATATTATGCCATGGTCAAAAGACTGGTTCCTTTACTTGGGGGTAGGGATGGTCATCCACATGGAAGCAGGATCCTTCATATTCAACGGCCATATAAAGAGTTTTGGCTCATATGAGACATGGTTTCAAGGGCAAGTTCTGCTGCCAGTCTCGGAGAGATCTTGAAGAGTGTCCGCCTGGCTTTAATGCGCACTGCCTCTTCCAGCAAGCGCCTTAGAGACGGCAAAATCAAATCTGTGTGTTGAGGGTATCCGTTTGAGGTTGATTTCTAGGGGAAAAGCACCATGACTCACAATGACCGGCGTTCCTTTCTTGTGTGGCGGGCCCCAAATTGGCCGAGCCGTTGATACCAAAAAATTACGCGGCCAAAGCTGGCAGTCCATTGGATCCAAGGTTTGAGCAAAACGCTGTGAAGATTGTTGGCCTTGGGTGCTTGAGGAGTGCTGAGTGTACGGGCGTATCAGGTGTGCGCATGACTGGAGAAGCAGGGGTTGGCCGTGTCATCAACCGGCGCAATGCTGCTCTCTGAACGCAACAATGTTCCTGTGAGTAAACACGACAAGAGACACGCGCGCACACACACACATGTCATGACGGATTCCCATGTTGGGTAGAACCAACTGGCTAAACCAGGCTGCTTTATTGGACGTGGCTCAGCAGCAATGCTGCGATTCAACGGCAAAGGCATTGCATTACAAGACGGGAGGCTTATGACAAACATAGGTGCAAACCGCTGGATTGTCACTTGCTTTTTCTCCAGCAAGAAGCGGAGCTTTCGACAAGTGTGCTTGGTTGAAGGCTCAAGCACGTGTTTTGGCCCATGCCATTGGTGCCTGGGTGCCTTGGTGCTTGGGCAGTTGAGGTGCCACAACCGGCCCTTCGACATCTATGCCACCATCTTCGAGTGGCCGCCCATGGTCTTCCCAGCTGCAGTTTGCTCGCGCGGGGTTGGGTGCGGGGATCCGAACATTATCGCAGACAAGTCGGGGGCGCCCGATTTGTTTCCCACGTCCTTTACCGTCATTTTGACGAGTCGTGCCGTTTCTGCGCCTTCGCATTGCAGGCACCATCTAGTGATGACCCTGAGGAGCAGCATCAGGTTTGCCCAGCTTGATGAGACGCATATCCACTTTGTTGAATGCACATGTGCTGTGAATTAGATGATTGTCGCAGTTCTGGATCAATGTCAGCACCTTCAGTACGTGCAGCCATCCAAGATGCAGCATTCAACATTGGAATTGGTTGGGTGTGGACTTACTTCACGTTGCCGCTGATTCAGTTGAGCGGCTTTGCCAATTCATGAAGTGACATACTTGTTGGTCAGGGACACCAAAGGACGGAAGGCTGCGATTCATTTGGGGCAACGTGTACTAGGGCAAGAGTTGTTTGGAATCTTGTCGCATCCCAGGAGCCTTACAAGCGCCTTTGCTTCCTGGCAGGGTGGGCTGTGTTGCGGGAGAACGAGCATTACGCACCCGGCTGAGTTTTCCCATTTGGCTTTGGCAAACAGGAAGGCAGGTGCCGACCTTGGACTGAGTATGTGACAAATCGTTGCTTTTGCAATATGGGTGTTGCCTTTGTAGGGGGTCTCCCTTGTTGGTTTCCCGCTAAAAAGCACAAAAAGGGGCACTGTCAGAAAAAGACATACCCATGTAGCAGAACCATTCAGTGTGCCGCCCGGCCGAGGTGCAATGGCTAAACGAAGGGGCCTCAGCTGGTAGGGTGTTGTTGGGGCTTCCATGCGCAGAAGTTGATCAACCTTTAGGTGAATTTCCCCCGCAAGCAACCTTGATAAGGAATCCTGTCAGCGCATGGAAGCCACTCACACACTCGGATTTCTCCTAAAGTTCACAAAAAGTTGATCAACGCACTGGTGGTTTCCATTGAACCGATCGAAGCGATCGAAAAATTCACTTCGGGAGGTTCAAAGGTTCCGTGGCTCGGGAGCCGTGAGAGTCGGGGAAAAAGCACCTGGGTGCATGGCTCATGTTGGAATCCATTCAGGTTTGGCCTGGCCCGTACCATCCCAGCTTCCACAAGGCGGGACAGAAGTCCGAAGTGTGCGGAAAGATGCAATCAATGGTCCGCTTCCTGGGCATGTGTTTTTTTTTGGGTGCAGATGGTGCAGGTGGGGGGGGGGGTTCTTCTGTGCTTGTGTCACAGCATCCACTCATGCAGCAATCTCATTGCCAGACCTGGTTTCTTTTGGCGGGGGGGGGGGGCTCATTGATTGTGCTTTGGCAACGCTGTTCATACTTGGCCCGTTTTGTGACATGGGTACGGGGACCGGCAGGCCGCACTGCCCGGTGCCAATGGCACCCAGAAGCCACTTGCAAGGCGCATCCGATGTGAGGAAGTCGCCCAGAAACGAGTGGGTCTTAAAATGGGTATGGGTCAAAATTTAACCACCAGGGGACAGCAGGTTTTAGTCCTTGGTTCCATTTACCAGGTTCCATTTTGGGTACCCATTTTTGACCCACAGCCAAATGGGAAACCCCCAAATGTTATGTTGCCAGCCAAAGCTGGTTGTGCTCAGGTTATATTCTCAGACGGTCGTACGGCAGAATGCAGTGTTTGTTCCCCAACAGCTGGAAGCTTTGGGGTGTCTCTGCCCAAATACACTCCGGAGTGGTTCGGAGCAGCTTTGAAGGAATGGTTTGAGACGGTCTCGGGCGGTTCCGAGGCTGTTGGGGATATCACCTGGGCTTATTAGGTTTGCTTGATTGGAATTCCATGGATCTTAGGAGGAATTGAGTTGGCCATCTCAGGCATGCATACTTCGTGCAGTTGAAAGGTTCAGAATTGGGTAAGTAGACTGTTCCTGACTGCTCAGCCACTTGTCCATGTTCCATATCTTTCTTTGTGGGCTCTTTTCAAACGGAGGATGTCCGCCTCACACCCGCGAAGTTCCCTAAGCCTACTTTGCCTTACAGAAGATGGAAGTTCTGACTGGAATGCTTGAAGTGAGGCCGGTCAAGGGAGCATTGTTATTGCGGCGGGATTTTTAGCCACCGTACGCTTGGATGACCATCTCACCTGCTGAACCAACAGCAACGTGGGAAACAACAACGCATTCGAGGTTTTTAAAGGGAAGCCAAATGGAAATTTGGGGTGTCCCCTGAAAAAACCGACACCCCCATAAGAACCGGCAGCTTACATGGAAGGGTCTGGCTGCAAGGCTCCGCCTTGAAGGGGAGATGAACTACTTGCACTGCATGGAGGCCGGCGCAGCTATCCGGGTACCGCATGGATCTGTTGAATTCGGCCTCTCAGACCCTTAGGACACCCAAATGCGGTTTGGGAACTATGTGGTTGATCGAGGACTCTTTGGTGGACATCAGAGATGCTTGGGAGATTTATGTGCACCCTTGTTGAGGCTGCTCCAACCATTGCCTATCATAGCCAAATGGGTATGTGTGAGAATTGGATAATGGGGGGGGGGTCTTCGGGTTTCCTGGTGGCTTCTCTTTGTGAAAGCACCCCAAACAAGGGGGATACCCCTCCAGCACATCCAAATGAAGACTGCGATACCTGACCGGCCTCTCCGGGACTTGAAGCCGCAGGTGGGGCCAGCTGACGCCATGGGCCGGCAGCAAGTCCTCGCCATGACGGGCAGCACGCCCCATTTGTGCAATGAAATCGGTGGGTGACCCCAGGGCGAGTGAAGGGCGAGCGGGCATTGTGTGCTTTTAGGACTTCTCGTGGCTTACACTACTTGCACTAGTGTCGATCAAGGCTTAAAAAATACTATCAGACCGCAACTAGCTGAAAGAACCCCGAACCTCCTGCGGCAGGTTGGAAGCACCGTGAACTTGTGAGCAGGTGGGCTTGGAGTTCCCTTGAGAAAGGGTGCTGGATATTTTTTGTCCAGTAGCCGCGTGCGGGGGGCTTGGGCCAAGGCCTTATGGATTTGAGCGGCTTGCAGCGTAGAGGCGAAGGGCCTGAAGGCGGGGCGGGAGGAGAGAAGATGTACGCATTGTGACCAACCTCAACAGGAGCCCACCAGAGATGCTCCTACAGCTGCCACTATTGCTGCTGCTTCTCTCTTGCTGCTGCCTGCACAGCAGCCACTAGCACTGATGCTACTGTGGCTGCTGATTCTTCTGCTTCTGCTACTGCTGCTGCTGCAAAGCCTAATGCTGAGTACGCTGCGATCACTAGCTTGTTCTGCCACCACCACACCACGACTACTTTTGCTGTTACTGCGACTCCGACTCCTTGTCCTACTACTATGACTACTGCTGCTGGTGCTGCTCCTCCTCCTCCTCCTCCTACTACTACTACTACTACTACTACTACAACAGCTACCACTGCTACCACTACCACTGCCACTGCTACTCCCGATGCTACAGCGTCTACCGTTGCGCAATCACTTCCAAATTCAGTACACTGCGCGGTGCCTCGCCGTTGGCACAACTATATAGTGGCGTTGCTGCTGTCGCGGCCGCGTGATGCCTGCAATATACACTGAAGCCCGCGGCCGCGCGATGCCTGTAATATACACCGAAGCCTAATGATGAAAGTGCCGCGTAGCATTTGTTCTTCCTTCCTGGTACATACCTTGGTCATTCATATGGCCATGGGTCAAAATCCCGTACCAGTGAACATCCCAATCCCCACCAAAAATAGGTTCTAAAATGGGTGGTGCACCTACCCCAAAATGGGATCCCATTGGTTTTGACCAGCCTATCAAGCAGATGCACAAGCTATTTCACTGACCCGCACCCCGCGCCCTGAGGTGCAGAAGGAGAGGCCTGGCCTGGCTGAAGAGCCATGTCAGATGGAGCATTGGCCGCGTAGCAAGACTGGTTTGGCGCAGTGCTCCTCACTTCTCGTGTGTGTTTCCTTGGTGTTCTACTCTTTATGCAGGGCAATGAATGTGGACATCGTATAAAGATTAAAGGATGAGGCGACCCTTTTCAGGTCGCAACCATGTCTATCAACAGCACATTGCCCTTGGATCTGCCTGCAGGCCTCCGCATTGCCAAAGGTCTACGATGTGGGTGTCAAGGCGCGACAGACCGATCGAAATCTGGCCGAGATGTTTTTTGCAAGCGACAGTCCCACATCACCACGCGTGACTGCCAATGGGTTTGCATAGGTTGGTACCTCAGTTTAAAGGGAGTACTTTTTGGTGTGGCTTTAAAAAAAAGAAAACACGAGCCAGGGCAAAGCGCAGGTAGTCTTTGGTTCCACTTCACCAAGGTCTCATGTTGGAATTCATGTTTTTGAGCCACAGCCATTTGCGTGGGGCCGCGTGTTTTTTTTCGCGCACGGTGCAAGTTCGCTTCACTACACGCAGGAGGTTTCCCCGTGTTTTTTTTGTTTTTTTTCGAAGTCGAGGTCCACTCCCTGGGGGAGCGCGTGGTGCTCAGCGCCAAGTGGAATGAAGCCGGGAACTTCATCTTGCTGAACACCAGGCCGGGTACCGACAAGTCTGAGGCAGGGGCAACCAGAAACGAGTTGGTCTTAGAATGGGTGTGGGTCAAAATTGAACCACCAGGGATTGGACCACAGGTTTTGCTCCATGTTGCCACTTACCTGGGTAAGCCACTTTGGGTACCTATTTCTGACCCACAGCCATACCAAGGCAGAGCTATGCTGGTGTAGGTCAAAAATAGGTACGCAAGATAGAACCCTGGTAAATGGAAACATGGGCACCCTTTTGTGGGATGCTTTGAAAGGGATCAGCCCCAAAGTTTGGATACAAAGCCAGCAAATGTGCACTTCTTCGAGGCCAAGGCCCATGTCTGTCCTTGCCACGCAGGCCGTATGCCCATGCTGCGTCTCGCAAGTGTCTGCGCCACAGCGGTGGCAGTGGGAGACGGTGCGAGTCAGACATCGATCAAACCACGTTATGACTCGTCATGCTATTCATGAGAGAGAGAAGAGAGGGCAACAGACAGAGAGAGGAAGAGAGAAAGAGCGAGAGCGGGAGAGCGAGAGAACAAGAGCCGTAGGCGAGCCGCAAACTGCCAGCTTCGAGGCCGTTGCCTTTGTGGCTCGTTGTTTGGAGGCTAAAAGGGAAACCAACAAGTCCCTACTTTTGAGACCCTATTTTGGTGCCAAAGAAAAGGTCAGAGAGGCGATTTTTTTCGGGTGGTTTGATGACAACCATCTCAGACTGGCGTCAAGCAGGACTTGGATTCCAGCGCACGAAAAATCCTTTTTTGCCTGCATTTCTTGGGTTGGCCGGCCTCGGCCAGGATGTGCTGCTCAGGGCAGTTCCTGACTTGCTAAGCGCCTAGCAGGCTGCAGTCTCCAAGTCACCAACATGCAGGCATTGAGGAACGCACTGGCAGTGAGCTGCACTCTGGCGCTATGTTGAATCGATGATGGTCATCGCTAGCATCATGGCTAACACGCATTCAGCCCAATGTAGACTTTGCAACCAAGAGTGTTTGCCAACCGAGGTGTTTGTCGGGGCATGCGTTTGGATTGAGAGGTTCCCGGCAGATTGGCATGTTTCCCCCCTCCCTTCGCTTGAATGATCACTTGGTTGGGCGCACAAACTGTTGTTTTCATCCAATATCTGAGGTCAACAAAGATGGAGCTGTTGCTGTTGGACGTGCCTTGACAAAGAAAAATCGCCGAGAGCTATGGGCGCTAGGGAAGGCAACTGCGGGATCAGGGCCAGTACTGTTGGCTCATGTTTTGTTTCGGTTGCCCCTGGGCGTTCAAGGCCTCGTCGCTGGACATCGTGTCCGTCTTTGATGGCCACTTTGCTTTCACGACCAAGGCAAAGGGCGGCATGAGCAAGGAATAGCCATGAGGATGCTGGATCTAGCCATGCCATGGTCTCCTTCGTTGCTTCAAACGGACCTTGCGTGGCGGCTGCTTGATCATCTGCACCAGGAGAGCCCTTTCTTGATCTTTACAGATGAGCCAGGCCCTCGGGAGGCATTCTACGGTATGTCACACAAGACACCCTGTGGGTGGCTGGAGCCACATACCAACGGATTTGGCGGGCTTGATTTGAGACATGCCCAGTTTGATCTACTGAATTGGCCGGATGTGTTGCGCCTCCCTTGGTGATCAAGTTCCAGTGATTCAGCGGCCATGAGAAGACAAGAGAGACATTGATTGAGGCATTTTTTGCCTTCGGTGGCATGTACGGAGATGTGCCACCGTGCTGTAAGGTGGGCAAACTCCGACTTCTTGGCCAGTGGCGGCGAGGAGACGGAAAGCGAGGGGCAGGGAGAAAGAAAGAGAGAGAGAGAGAGAGAGAGGGGGACTAGACTTGGATAGCTTTGTCCAGGACCATCGTGTTTATGTATGGCATCGGCGCCACAAACGGCTTGTGCGCCGGCTCTGTGGCAGCTGCCTGAGGAGAGGAGTGTGGGGCGTCCATGTGGCTTCAAATACTGAGGCACATTGAAGCACAGGCTTGCATCTCGTTCAAGAATTCTTGATTGCTATTGGGTAACGAATATTTAGGACTTTTCTATTTAACCCACAAAAAGTGTTTGCTTTTTGCAGAGGAGTCAACAGCAACCAAGTATGATCCTTTCCTGCCCCCCCCCCAGTCTGGCGAAATGGCGCTCCCGCATCACACTCCTGTGTCAACGAGAGCAATTAGGGTCATTACCACCATGGTCATCATCCACCTCAACGACGTACAACTGCCGCAACTGCAAGGATATTCAAAAGTGCCCTAGGTCACACAGAGCCTGTCAACGCTGTGAGTTGGAACGGCCGAATCCTCAGATGTGCAGTGGCATGAGTGAAGGCGTGCTGAAGTGAAGCCGGCTTAAGGCAAAGGCTTGTTGGCTTCGTCTTCTGACGACAACTCCGTCATCATCTGGGCAGCAGCAGGCAGGCATGTCTCAGAAAGACACCTTTTCGAGCGTGAAGGGAAACGAAATGGAAGCCAACCGAAACGTTTCATTCAGCCCGAAAGTGCCGCGAGGCGCCCGGATGGGGTGACATCAAGGCAGGTTGGTGATCGCGCCGAGAAAGACTCCTGGTGATGCTTGGCTCTGGGCAGCAACCATCGAGCATGGATGCGGGGCGGCCCCTGAAAGCCTACTCCGAGCATGTTGTTCGGAAAGCTGTTTGTGTGGGTGCCACAGGCTCGGTCAACGTTACTGAGAATGCGACGTGAGAATAATTGTTCACTTGAGACGCGGATATATCCGAACAAAATGATTGGCAGTCAGTGGATCATGTATAAATATATATATATATATATATATATTATGTGTTTTACGCGATGCATAGGTCTATGTATGCAGAAAATATTATAGTGTCACGTGTATGCAAATGACCGAGTTGATAATATTGACTATTGGGAGTAGTCCATCCCCACAGACACCCGCCCCGTTTTGGTTTGGGGGTTATTATGTTATACAGGTTTTCTCGATGTTACTTGATTGATACCGGAATTTATGAATTTGTTCGATGTTATTTTTCGGAATTTATTATTTGAATTTATGAACAATTTTAGAATCATGAATTATATTATAATATTATACATGTTTATATATTATTCGAATATGATATTTGCAAAATATATTAGTATTGATCTTAAATATAATGTTTAGAATTAAATGTGTATGGATGATTTTGTAATTTGGAAAAAGAAAATATATTTGATTTTGTATTGGTTATGAATTAATAAATTGATAGGTGAAAATATTTAAATATAATATTTATGTAATTGAAAAATAGATATATATATATATATTGTTTTTTGTTTTATAATTCAAATAAATAAATATTGGAAATTTAAATTCGAGGTTTAATATTTATGAAAATATGGATTTGATAAGCATTGAGAATGTATTCGAAATATATGAAGAGTATTTGATAAATATGATTATATTGGATAGGAGATGATTTTTAATTAAATCTAAATATATTAATAATATTGATATCTTTATATATATATACATAGACTATATTTATATTTTTGAGGAGTCGAATTTAAACTTATATTTTTTAATATACATAAATAGAATTAAAATTACCAAGGGTTAGCACTTTTGGGGAGTGAGCCGAGACCGATTTGATCGAACAGCTGGCGGCCGAGTCCGAGCGTGTTTTCGACGCGAAACTCATGCCCGAGGCCGTGCGCGTGCGGTAGCGGCTCCCCGTTGGGGCCTGCTAGGCTTCTTTATTTATTTTTTTTGGTATAAATATAATCAAATTAGAATATATTATATTATTTTACAGGTTGTATTTTATAGATTGTGGGTCTGGGATATTCTTGTTTCTTTGTTTGTGTTTAAATGATTTATTCGAAATATTTTTATTATTAGTGGACGTTGGTTGATATTTGTGACATTGTTTTGATTTTATGATAAATCTTATTATATAAAAATTAATGCTTAAAATATTCAATTCTTTTATTTTATAATGTTTATAATAAACAGATTTAAAATTATGAAATTATGTTCATAACTTTACCCGTTTCAATTTATTTTTATATAATAAATGGTGTTCCAAATTTTACGAATTTGAGCTACCCATATATTACCCTTTATTTTTATTGTTGTTTGATATATACAATATATTTAACCAATTTATATATTTTATTAATTAATTATATATTAATTTAAAAAAAAATATTTTAAAAATATATTAAATTACAAAAAAAATCAAATAAGTTCAGGTGGCACTCCCAACAGCACGCGGTGTTCTTTTTAGTGCTAACAACACCCTACAGCCCTCGTAGTACCTTATATAATTGTCATGGAACATTGATAAAATTCTTGTGGAACCTTATCTCAAAGTCGCCCCGGACCACCCCGGAGCTTATCTGAGCTGAGACTCCTAAATTTTCAACTGTTAGAAAAGATTAATTATCTATTCAAATAAAAATTACATAAATATCATTTTAAATTTATAAATTATATTAAAATATTTTAAAAAAAAACAATAATAAAACACAACTACATAAATATATATATATATGTAAATGAATAGAATCCAATATATAATCAATATAATCTAATTAGATATCAACAAATAACAATACAATAAAACATATCATTAATATCTAATATTCAAAATATTCAAATTCAATATATCAAAATTCATCCATTCTATTATGTTAAACAAAATATAAATAGATAAATATATATATATATACTAGCGAGGGCCCGCTGCTTTCCAGCAGAGTGCGAAATGAAGCCCATAGCAAAGAACCATAAAATAACAAAATCCCAACTAATAATCATAAATAAATATATATACTTATATTCGTAAAGAAAGAAATAGGCAAATAACCGAGCAAGTGCCTAACGAAAGGCGGTTTCGGAATATTTCACGAAATATCCGGGAATTCTTATGGTTCACCTGGAAAACAGTTCCATAACTTAAGCCTCGAAGTAAACCTCACGGACATGCTTGAATCATCAAATGAGAGGGGCCCACGTTAGCGGAACCAACGTATATTTGAGATTGCAGTGGATTCCTAAAATGCCCACAGCTTTGCCTACAGCTCCGCCGGCGCTTTCCGTACCTAATGCGGATTTTCACCTAGCAAGTTTGATGGGATATCGTGTGAGTCGCGTTCTCAGAGGCTAAGGTCCAGGCCGTGGTGGGTATAGCAAAAACAAAGGCAAATCTTATAAAGATTGCGCCGGCAAAATATTTTTTGTAGTTCAAAGATTAATTCATTTTATCATATATATCAAAGAATTTAAAAATTATTCGTGTGCGAAAAACATACCGTTTTCCAAGCACAGGTCGCGAGATGCACTGAGCGCCAAGCTGATCGTTCTAAGACACGCCTGCAAAAAAAGGCCTACGTCGCTGAGGGCGACACAATAAAATCATACCAAAAACCAGCCACGAACACAAAAACATGATACACGCTTGTCGCAAAATGCGTAGCACAATCTCCTAATTATTGGTTTGGATTTGGAGGCTTTGTATACGGAGCAGAACTTTGCTTGCATTATTTTAGGAACCACATTTACAACATTTATTTCAATATAAATCATATATGGTGCTTATATAAGGATTTCTCTATTAATATAAAAAAAAATCGTAGTTTCGTAAATTTCGTTGTAACCATTATAATTATCCCCGTTATGCACCTCGATATGGCCTGTATATCATAATTTGTTATATATCCAGTGTTCCCCATCATAAGTTTTAACCGTTGTATGACCATATCGTCGCATAGCCTATAGCTTCGTTATAACCGCATATCGTGTCTTATCGTGGACTATCTTATCCAAAGTATAGCCCATCACAAGTCACATCGACACGATTCCATCGGCATATATCGCGTCGTTAAAATCCTTCCATAATCTCGCATCCCATCATACGGTCGTAGCCTTAGCCCTACTGCATCATATGGCCTTATAATTACATAGCCCGTAACGCTATCATAGGTTTAGTACGTGTTTACATTAAAATCCCACATATCGTAGCCTATCACTCGTCCGTCTCCTTTCCCGTCGCATAACTGATTATAGCCCCGTTATTAGCCCGTCATAATCCCCCATATAGCCCGCAATATATCCCTCCTCCAATTTTTCGGCCCATCTTAATAACGGCTATTCCCTCATAGATATAATAATTATCCCCTTATAGATGCATGGCCTATCGCAATCCAATCCTATCACTCAATGCGTCCAAGACTCGTTTTGTGTAATCTATCACAAATCTATCGTATAACCCACAAGTGTTTATATAGCCCATCCCATCGTCATCATTAGCCCGTCGTAATCCCCCATATAGCCCGTAACACATCCCTCCCCCCTATCATTCGATCAATCGTAAATTCGTTTTATATAGAGGTGTAACCCATGGGTGTTTATATAATCCATCCCATCGTGTAAGCCCCAATATATTATATCCTGTCACACACTGTGTTGTAGCCCCCCCCCCTATCCCGCCGCGTAATCCGTCGCACCCCGTCATTAGCCTATCGTAGTCCCTCATATGGCCCATAACACATCCTGTTAATGACGGCTATTCTCTCATAGATATATGGATATGTCGCCCGTGGCACATCCTTCCTCCAGTTCTTTGACCCATGTTGATGATGTCTTAGATTCGTTAATAGCTTCGTGGCGGCTGCCATCATGTGACCCATGGGTGTTTATATGGCCCATTCCGTCGCGCAAGCCCAAACATGTCATATCCTGTCATGAATTGTATTATCGTCCCCCTCGTCCCGTCGTAAATCCCGTCGTGGCCCGGTTATTAACGCGTCATGCCTCCCTATTGCGGTCTCCATCATGGCGACGGGCTACACGACGGGACGGGGGGGCGTTAATACAATTCAGAATAAGATTTGGTTTGCATTAAGCCAGATAATTACCCGTGCGTGGAACGACGCTACCCACGACGAAGCCATTACGAGACCTCCGACCGGCCACACTCTTCGCACGCCAAAAGCACGCCATTCTCCAAACACAAATCGCGAGATGCACTAAGGACCGGGCTAGTAACGATAAGGTCGCGTAAAAAAGTCAGTAAAAAGTAATCGCCCAAACAAAGTAAAAATGGATCCGCAAGTTCTTGGCCTCATCACATGTATAAATATTAGAATCGCAAATGAAAATTTAATTAATAACAAACATCCTAAAAACAAACACAAAATTTCAACCAAAATAATTCTTTACCTAAAAATACAATAATTTTGTTTTAATTTCTAAAAAAACAATCATATTTTAAGCAACAATCCATAAAAATATAAACAATTATATCTTCCGAAAAAACAACCCAAACCAAATTTCAAATAAATCCGGAATTCGACAAAACAATCCAAAAAAACGCACGCAAATACAACAAACGAATTTCAACAAAGAAAAAATAAATAAATTAATATATTAATTTTATATATAATTAACATTTATTATTTTATTCATCATTTCAAATACAAAATAATCAAAATTCATTCCAAAAATAATATATCAATTTATTCAATATTGTCAAGAAACGGCAAGGTAACGTCCCGTGGGACGCTGTCCACCGAACCCTCCAACTGTAAATACCAACCACGTAAAAAGGTGTATACGGTCAAACCGTAATAGCCGAACCCGTGTAACTGTTGTAAGGGAGAAGGAATAATAGT